GTGTGCGCGCACCTGAGTGTTTTCTTGTCTCTTTTATTAATTTCGGTGAACATTTTTAATAGGCTTGTCATTGCAAAACATCGTAGACAAAAAGACATTTACTCGTTTTTGTAATATACACAATTTGCAGGTGCTCGCCCAAACGCTGACCGGAATTGGAATTAATTGCTTTGTAGAGTGTATTTCATACCATGGTAGCTCAAATGACAGTTTTGTCACTGCAGGGTATGAAGAATATGCTATCCTCTCAAATCATATGAATTTTACTCGTTTCATCCTCTTTGACTCTTGGTCTGTAGCTGCCTGTGTGTCTGTGTAGCTGCACCTGTGTTTTCGTGCTCATACTTTTTCATGTGGTTCTATTAACTCCTTCATATTCTGATTTATTAGTTGCTTTTGTCATATGTTTATCATTTATAGGTTATATAGACAAATTGGAATTTTAGCATTAAAAGGGAATTTAAATCCAGCAAAATATCTCTTCATAAATCTTTTTCTTACATTTTTAAAAAACTTTCTTTATTGGGTTTGCAACAAGATGCCATGTAGTGTAGTTCATCGAACAGAGAGGGACGCTGTTGGCCAATGAGTTGTTGAGGAAGCATTAGTTGCAGTAGTACCTCCCCTATATCTCAACATATTATACTGGGAAATAGAGAGAGGCAGAGTTAACGGTCAGGATTGCCATGAACAGCATAAGCCAGGACAGCTAGGTGGGATTCTTTTTTTTCCACAATTTAGGATAAGTGCCATCTTGAGGAGCATTTGCGTGTATATATAAGTAAAAATCGGAACCTGGGCCGAAGAAACAGAGGGTTTTCTATTTTTCTTCACAGACGTGTCGACCGGAACGATGGGATGGCAAGTGCTGTTGTTTATCTCGGTGCTCTCTGTCAGTGTAGTGTGCGGGCAGGTCAGTTACTCCATCCCTGAGGAAATGAAAAAGGGGGCTCTAATAGGAAATATAGCCCAGGATTTAGGTTTGGGTGTGGAACGATTGCAGTCCGGTAAAGCTCGTATTTATACTGGTAACACTGAAGAATATATTGAGCTGGAGAGAGAAAGAGGAGCCCTGCTAATTAAAGGCAGAATAGACAGAGAATCGCTCTGCGGTCAAACAATGCCCTGCGCGCTCCATTTTCAAATGATCCTGGAAAACCCGATGGAGTTTTACACGGTGACTATTGAAATAACTGATATAAATGACAACCCTCCCACATTTGAGAGGGGGGAGATGAAATATGAAATTAGCGAATCATCTCTTAATGGAGCTCGTTTCGTCTTGGACAAAGCCATGGATGATGATGTTGGTGTCAACGGGTTGAACAGCTACGCCCTAAAACCCAGTGACAATTTCGCTCTGAAAACCATCAGTCGAGGAGATGGGACTAAACATGTCGAGATGGTTTTACAGAAACCCTTAGACCGAGAAAAGCATGAACATATATCTTTAATACTAACCGCTATTGATGGCGGTGAACCACAGCTCTCGGGAACAATGCAGATTCTCATAGCTGTTTTAGACGCAAATGATAATCCTCCCGTTTGTTCAAAAGCGGAATATAAAGCAAGTGTTACAGAGAACGCTCCTATTGGTACTGTAATTACTACCGTGAGGGCCACTGACATAGATAAAGGCAGTAACGGAAAAGTAACATACATGATCTCAAAATCTGGAGCTTCAAGTCTCTTTCAAATTGATGCAGAAAATGGAGTATTGACCTTAGTTGGTAATGTAGATTATGAAAAAAGGAGACTTTACGAACTTGATGTTCAGGTGTCAGATCAGGGAGGATTATCCGATGCATGTAAAGTGATAGTGGACGTGGCAGATACAAATGATAATCCCCCAACCATTAACATCATGTCTAATTCAAACACAGTATCTGAGAACGTGAAACCCGGGACGGTTGTAACAATGCTTAATATACAAGATCCAGACGCAAATGAAAACGGAAAAGTCATGTGTGTTTTGAACGAGAATATCCCTTTTGCCATTAAATCAACGACACACAATTTCTTTAGCGTTGTCACAGACAGTGATTTAGACAGAGAGAGAGCCTCTGAGTACAATATTACTGTGACCTGCTCTGATGAGGGAGTCCCCTCCCTCTCCAGCAGCGTCACTCTCACCTTACAGATCTCTGATGTGAATGACAACGCGCCTGTCTTTGAGAGGAGCTCATATGAGGCCTTCATTGTAGAAAACAACACACCAGGCCTCTCTATATTCACAGTGAAAGCCAGAGACGTTGACTGGAACCAGAATGCCCGTGTTTCTTACATACTGGAGGACTCCTCTGTTAACGGAGTGCCAGTCTCCTCATATGTGTCCGTTAGTGCTGATAGTGGAGTCATCCATGCAGTGCGCTCTTTTGACTACGAGCAGATCAAAGATTTCCACTTCCGCGTCAAAGCGCAGGATGGAGGCTCTCCTCCACTCAGTAGCAATGTGACTGTGAAAATATTGATCCAGGACCAGAACGACAACCCTCCTCAGGTTCTGTACCCAGTCCAGACTGGTGGCTCTCTGGTGGCTGAAATGGTGCCTCGTTCAGCAGATGTGGGCTATCTGGTGACTAAAGTGGTGGCTGTTGATGTGGACTCTGGACAGAATGCCTGGCTCTCCTATAAACTGCAGAAAGCCACAGACAGGGCACTGTTTGAAGTGGGCTTACAGAATGGAGAAATAAGAACTATCCGCCAAATCACTGATAAAGATGCAGTGAAACAAAGACTGACTGTTATAGTGGAGGACAACGGGCAGCCCTCTCGTTCAGCCTCAGTCATTGTTAACGTGGCGGTGGCGGACAGCTTCCCTGAAGTGCTGTCGGAGTTCACTGACTTTACACACGACAAGGAGTACAATGACAACCTGACTTTTTACTTAGTGTTGGCTCTAGCTGTAGTTTCCCTCCTCTTCATCACGTGTTTAGTGGTTATTATATCTGTGAAAATCTACAGATGGAGACAGTCTCGCATCCTGTATCACTCCAATCTCCCTGTGATTCCATATTATCCACCACGTTACTCAGACACTTTGGGCACCGGGACTCTCCAGCACGTGTACAATTACGAGGTGTGCAGGACGACTGACTCCAGAAAGAGTGACTGTAAGTTCGGCAGAGCTGGTAGTCAGAACGTGCTGATAATGGACCCCAGTTCTACAGGGACGATGCAGCGGATACAGAATGAAAAGAGCATCCTGGATGAACCAGACTCTCCTCTAGAGGTTAGTTAAATAGTTTAGATTCGCCTCTGTGTTTTCATATCTCTTTCAGTGTTTAGTTGCATTGATGGCGAACTGTTACACGCTATTCTGCCATTTTCAGAACCATAAACAGCGTCCCACAACCTACTTCTCAATCATTAGCCTGTTATACTGTATTTTTTTATCAAGTACGTTAATTTGACTTGGTTGCATTTTGTGTGAAAGGTGACTGATAAATCCTTTAGAGGTTATTCAACCTAAACATTTTTTTCAGACCTAATTATTAGTACAGCTTTTATTGTTTCAATAGTCGCATACCAGAATTTCAAACAAACAAAAAAGTTAATCTAGTTTATTCCTCTTTAACTGAACTTAACTACATAGCTACTATTATACAGAGTGAAAAAGTATATTGGACGAACCAGATTCTCGTCTAGAGTTTAGACTGATTTAATTGGTTCACCATTAGACACAACTGTCAAGTAACAACCAGTGGAGTATATCGTTTTAAGGGAAATTTTGTTTTAAGGTGATAAGTTTTTGTGCTCTATATAACAATGTGAACGAGTTTGTCTTTCAAACATTTTCTGTTTACTTTATGGTTACCCCAAAAATTTTCAAATAGGCTAATGATGATATGATTAGGAGGAGCAGTGGATGTAGAGGCAAAAGAAGCAGTATATAAATATTTTGGTGCCACTTTACAATAAGACTACCCTTATAAAGCATTAATCAATGGTTTATAATGAAGTTGTTAAATCAGTTAACACTTTATAAATCATAAATAAACAGTTATAAACAAGTTTTTCATACATTGATGCAGGTTCGCGATTCTCACATAATCAAGTTAATGCTTACTTCGCCTTACTAATGACTTATTCACCTTTTATTAATGAGTTACTAGTATTTATAGCTGGTAAAAGGGAGTCTTATAGTAACTCATTATTAAATTATTATGTGTTGGACACTTTACAATAAGGCTCCTTTTACCAGTTATAAATGGTGGTAAGTTGTTAGCATAACTAATGAGTAGTAAGCATTAACTTGATCTTGCCAAATAGTGAGCCTGAATCACTGTATTAAACTATTATAACTTGTTTGTAACTGATTATTTAAGATTTATAAAGTGTTAACAACTGAATTAATAACCTAATTTGAAACCACTAATAAATCTTTTATAATGGTAGTCTTATTGTTAAGTGGTACCAATATGTTTTATTGAAAGGTTTCAAAAATATTCTCCAAATATTATAAATCTATATAGCATTGCAGGGTGTGCAGTCTTGACAGCAGTTTTTGCTTTCATTCACGGTGGGTTCGTTTCAGAACTACGGACAGCGACTTTAGTTGTTGTAGTAGACACATTATAACTGCATGCTTAGCTTATCTGTCAAGTGCTATTTCCACAGTTTAAATATCGGGCTCTTCCTCTTTCCTTCTCAGTATCTGTTCCTAATTGTCACTATTTATGATAACCTTTCTTTCCTCAGCTCTCCCTCTCTCTACAGTCTCTCGATTCAGTTGGATTTATATCCACCTTCATCCGTGATACTTGTGTAAGATCTGATACACATATTAGGTTACCGTTGACTGTGTATTTGTTGTCTTCAGATCTATTATTATACTGAGTAGGACTGTAAACATGATGAATGTCAGTTTCTGCATGCAACCGTTTTGGAAGTCCAAGATATTACTGAAGTGGATGTATGGGTTTACAAGTAGTTGTCCCAGAGTTGAATTTTAGTTGGTGTTCTGCAGTTTTATAATATGGACTCTTAGTGCCGCTGTTGACCAGAGTGTTGATGAGTGAGAGCAGGGTTGAAGCAGCACCTCCCATGTAACATCGTCATAACACAGAGAGAACTCGAGGAGCAACGAACGGACAATTATGGTTGTGGATAATGATTGAAAAAGACAAACGAATTTCGACCTGCGAGTGAATGTCTTCCATTGAGAGTTTTGTACACCTGTTAATTTGAGATTGACATCGGATTTTCAGGGTTATTTATTTTATGGAATGTAAGCAGACTGTGGAGCCTCACTGGGAAACAATCGGATAGAACAATGAATCGGCAAGTACTGCTGTTTATCTCTTTCCTTTCCCTCGACTCAGTGTTCGGGCAGGTCAGCTACTCTATTCCGGAGGAAATGGCGAAAGGATCTTTAGTGGGCAACATAGCACAAGATTTAGGTTTAGAAATAAAACGTTTGATATCGGGCAAGGCTAAGATCTATACTAGAGACAGCGACGAGTACATTGAGCTGAACAGAGAGAGAGGAGTCCTCCTCCTCAAAGAGAGAATCGACAGAGAGGCGCTGTGTACGGACACGGCGCTCTGTGCTTTACATTTTCAGATCATTCTAGAGAATCCTATGGAATTTTACAGTGTCACAGTACAGATCACAGATATCAATGATAATGCTCCTACCTTTGAAAAAAATGAAATGAAATTCAAAATTAGCGAGTCAGCGATCACGGGGGCAAAATTTGTGCTAGAAAGAGCTGTGGATCTTGATGTTGGAATTAACGATCTCCAAAACTATGAATTAAAACCGACTGATCATTTTGTTCTGAAAGTGCATAATAACGCTGACGGAAACAAAAATGTTGAGATGGTGCTACAGAAACCTTTAGACAGAGAAAAACAGGAGAAGATTTCTCTTGTGTTAACGGCTGTAGATGGAGGAGAGCCGCAGATGTCAGGAACAATGCTGATTGTTATTACAGTTTTAGACGCTAATGATAATGCCCCCGTTTTTACACAGTCCACATACAAAACTACAGTTACTGAAAATTCACCTAAAGGCACAGTTGTAGCAACTGTTACAGCCTCAGATGCAGATCAAGGCTCTAACGGTAAAATAGCATATTCAATCACAAATACATTAGATAATGTAAGAAAAGTATTTGAGGTAAATGCGGAAACCGGCGAAGTTTCATTAATTGGCCATATTGACTTCGAAAGATCAAGACATTTTCAAATAAATTTACTTGCTAGTGACGAAGGAGGACTCACAGATTCTTGCAAATTAATTGTAGATGTGCAAGATGTAAATGACAACAAACCTGAAATTAACATAATGTCAAAGTCAAATGTGATATCAGAGGATGCCAAACTTAATACGGTCGTTACAATGATAAACATCGAGGACAAAGACTCAGGAGAAAATGGAAAAGTGCAATGTTTTATCAACGAAAATATGCCTTTCACTTTAAAAACAACAACAATTAATTTCTTTAGTTTAGTGACAGACAGTGATTTAGACAGAGAGAGAGCCTCTGAGTATAATATAACAGTGACCTGCTCTGATGAGGGAGTGCCCTCCCTCTCCAGCAGCGTCACTCTCACCTTACAGATCTCTGATGTGAATGACAACTCGCCTGTCTTTGAGAGGAGCTCATATGAGGCCTACATTGTAGAAAACAACACACCAGGCCTCTCTATATTCACAGTGAAAGCCAGAGACGCTGACTGGAACCAGAATGCCCATGTTTCTTACATACTGGAGGACTCCTCTGTTAACGGAGTGCCAGTCTCCTCATATGTGTCTGTTAGTGCTGATAGTGGAGTCATCCATGCAGTGCGCTCTTTTGACTACGAGCAGGTCAAATATTTTCACTTCTGCGTCAAAGCTCAGGATGGAGGCTCTCCTCCACTCAGTAGCAATGTGACTGTGAAAATACTTATCCAAGACCAGAACGACAACCCCCCTCAGGTCCTGTATCCAGTCCAGACTGGTGGCTCTCTGGTGGCTGAAATGGTGCCTCGTTCAGCAGATGTGGGCTATCTGGTGACTAAAGTGGTGGCTGTTGATGTGGACTCTGGACAGAATGCCTGGCTCTCCTATAAACTGCAGAAAGCCACAGACAGGGCGCTGTTTGAAGTGGGCTTACAGAATGGAGAAATAAGAACTATCCGCCAAGTCACTGATAAAGATGCAGTGAAACAAAGACTGACTGTTATAGTGGAGGACAACGGGCAGCCCTCTCGTTCAGCTACAGTCATTGTTAATGTGGCGGTGGCAGACAGCTTCCCTGAAGTGCTGTCGGAGTTCACTGACTTTACACACGACAAGGAGTACAATGACAACCTGACTTTTTACTTAGTGTTGGCTCTGGCTGTAGTTTCCTTCCTCTTCATCACATGTTTAGTGGTTATTATATCAGTGAAAATCTACAGATGGAGACAGTCTCGCATCCTGTATCACTCCAATCTCCCTGTGATTCCATATTATCCACCACGTTACTCAGACACTTTGGGGACAGGGACTCTCCAACATGTGTACAACTACGAAGTGTGCAGGACGACTGACTCCAGGAAGAGTGACTGTAAGTTCGGCAGAGCTGGTAGTCAGAATGTGCTAATAATGGCCCCCAGTTCTACAGGAACGATGCAGCGGATACGGAATGAAAAGAGCATCCTGGATGAACCAGACTCTCCTCTAGAGGTTAGTCAAATAGTTTAGCTTTGTCTCTGTGCCTTCATACCTCTATCAGTGTTTGGTTGTATTACCATGAACAGCATCCCACAACCGACTTCTAAATCAATTGCCTGTTATTTTGTTTAATACCAACCTTTCTTTGACTTGGTTGCATTTCATGCAAAAGCAGACTTATAAATCCTTCAGAGGTAAAACAAATTATACATTGTTTTTCAGGCTTGTTTTATAGTACACCTTTAATTTTTTTCAGCAGAAAATATTGGCATTTGGGAATTGGGAACACTTAAATTTGCCATTGTAGTCTCTGCATCTTGAATTATATGCTCATTTTAGAACGTTTATGTTTTAGCTGTTTTTACTGATCTCTTTTTATTAGCAACATATGAGAGTACACTGGCTTTGGTGTTAAACTTGGTGTCAATATTTACTTTAATATCTATCTTATTGTTTCAGTTTTTAAACATTTTTGTTTTCTCATGGTCTCAAATTAGGCACAATAAGGATTTATTAAACACTTATTTTACACATGGTTTCCTGATGAATTTCTTTTTTTTCACAAACATCAGTTAAACTTGAAATTTTCTTAT